TAATAATATACTCTTGATGTCATCCACTCGAAAGATCTTCCAAATCAAGCCTATGTTGAAATTTCCACACCTTTTTCTACTCAGGTAAAGGTAGTACAGGTGTGCACAGAACAGTATGAATCAATGTCAAGGAGAGCGATCTTCTAATAACTGATTCTTTACACACACATACAAAAGCCTACAGATATCAATGCGTCTTTAAAGTCTCAAAATCAGCTTAAAGTCTTTAGGCTGCAAACGTGACGGCCTTATCCTATATAGATGCGTGCACAATTCATTACAGTTCATTCTTGTCTTTACTCAGGTAGCAGTAACATGGATTTCAAATCGGTAGAAGGCTTTGAAAAATCGAACCACAGACCGACAGACACCATAAAAGATCAACCTCCGTATTAACCGCCTGCGTGGCTACAAAAACAACCACCGGTGCTCTACACGCCTGTACAGATAAGTTACATGTAAGGATTTAAGAGACGGTCCACGAGAAAATCGAACATTTTTCAATAGGATCATACTCTCAAAAATGTTGACCCCTATATTTTATGATTGGAAATGAAAGAGCAGGGTGAAAAACCTATAAATCCAAAATTTTAGCTCATTTTAGCTTACCTCTAAAAAGTTATGAAATACACACTGAAGGCATCCTCAACAGGTTTTGAAAAAATGTTTTTTTCTTGCAAAATTTGGTAAGTCAGTATTTGGTTATTGTCTCCACAGTAAATTATCACAATCTTTTCGAGTAATATATCATTTGATAGAGCAAATTTCGCTCTACAAAACTGCATATGTCACCTTCTCCTCAATCTCCATTATATAGGTACCCCAGTCTCAAAACTAGATCGTTCCTACTCCTTTTTTCGCTTTTTTATCTTGTTCTCTTTTTCATTGCAAGCTATATTTCTCTACTAATTCTAACGGGTCCAGAGGTTTCTTTATGGATTTGGATAGAGCAAAGAAAGAGCTATCCAATGAGTATAAAATGATTAAAATCAAAGTAGCAACAAGCCTTCATCTGAGTCACACAAGATATTCTACTACCGTCTCAATAATAATATTTTTGATTATTTTCCTATATCTTTCAGACACATGGCAACTCCAAGTTTTCTCTCAATTAGGACATCAGTTTAGATTTACTTTTTAACGTTGAAAAATGCATCAGATAGGCTAATCAAAACTTTTCAAAGTCATCTATATCGAGAGATTAGCGGTTACTTTAGAATGTATCCAGTAGAATCAATACTTCCCAACAACAATCATTTCACATAACACACAAGCGAATCTGCTTAGTCGAGATTGTGACGCATCACTCAATTCAAGATATATCGTGGAGGAAAGAGTTTTGGGAATTTTGGCGCAACCCATTTTGAAAAATATTGAACCCTCAATATTTTATGAATGTTTTTTCGAAAGCCCTGAAAATGCATACCCAAAAAAGAGGACTTCTGGACTCAATATCTCATAAAAGACTTGATCGATTCAGTTGGGATTTTTTGTAGACATATTACTCAATGAGTTGTATTCAGAATAGAATTTTCAATTCACAACTATAAGCTCTTCATTTTTTATGACTCATCGAATATTGCAAAATTCACATTTTAGACAACTTTCGTCCCTCATAACTCATGATTGGAACAAGATAGAATTCTGAAATTTTCAGTGAAGTTAGCGCTTACACTCTAAAAAAATAGGTTTTTACCAACCCCCCGAAAAAGGTTCGGTAGATTTGAAAAAGCATCCAACTGCGACCAAAGGCTTGAAAAACGATTCTTCAGTTCTACGAAACCTTTAAAGCTTCCGCCCCCGGGTACACGGGAAGAACCTTCTCCTGCGAATTTTTTTTTTAAGTTCTGTACACCAGGAAAAGGTTTCGCAAGAAAATCCGAAACCTTCGGGATTTCATATTCAATGTCAATGGTTTAGTACGAAGCCATTGGGGTTTAGTAAAAAACCATTGGCATTGAATATGAAACCCTAAAGGTTTCGGATTTTCTTGCGAAACCTTTTTCTGGTGTACGGAACTTAAAAAAAGGTTTCGTAGGAGAAGGTTCTTCCCGTGTACCCGGGGGCGGAACCTTTAGNCAAGACATAATTTCGTCATTTGAATTTTTTGTAAATACCTTGTCATAGGCCGAAAAATCAGTAAAATGGCCATAACCTTCGAAAGAAGCAACATGGGCCCAAATCCTCTTAGGCTTTTTCTTAGCATACTGACCCCTACATATGGGCAAAATATAAGCAAAATCGGCGTGAATCACTTGGAACGGTTCCCTCGTTAGACAAGAAGATTACATTTGAGATATATTACAACTAATTCGTAGTTGAATAAAAATGTTCGATATGTATTAACATTAATAGTTTCTCTGAGCATAAAGAAATCTGAATAATCGAAAGAAAAAACACACATAATTACCGTAGGTTATTAGTCTTCACGATAACGCTTCAAAAATGTATCCCTCGATAATTAAAAAACACAAATTTACTTTCACATTTCGAATAGATTAATCTTTCATCAATAGTAATCTTGGTATATTTGATTTATTGACTTGTTAATTACCAAAATAGATTGATTACTAAACGCTCAGAACTTCTTTTATACAATATTATTTTTATTGAAGCTATGTTTGTTTTAGTGACGCCAAGCAAAACTTTCAAATAAATATGAAAAAAATAATGATTAATTATATATCATAACAATTTTGACATTTATGCCTGAAATGGCCATGAAAAGCGAAAGAAAAACATAAACACACTTTGTAATTGCATATCTTTCGTTATGGTTTTTTATTTTTGATGAAATCGATAGTAATAGTGCTGTCAAGTGCAATTGGAAACAATGTGAAAAATTTATCATACGACATAAAAGCAGCACTTCGAAAAACATACATTAGAAAGAATGTTTTTTTTTTTTTATTAGTTATAGAAAATCTTTTTCTTTCTTGTTCTGAAGTATAGATGATTTATTTTTATCAAGCACTTATTAACAAAATAGCGTGATAAGAATAAAAATGCATTTCTTAAAATGAATTTGTAATTCTTATATCGACTTATTCAATTAATTTTATACAACAGTGATTTATTATTATATTTTAATAACAAAGAAGATATTTTAAGAATAACGATTTATTATTTAACTTTTTTTATTCATTTTTTTTTTTTTAAAGTTTCATCGGTAGTTTTCAATGTAAGTGACACTTAAACAATATTTGATAGATGAAGGTATTCACAAAAGGAGGGAGGTCGATAGCTGTTGGAATCAGTCTCCGGGAGAAATTTGATTTCTTCTATGTCAAACTATCACACAAGGTGTTTGAAAGAGAACCCTGGAAGAATTAGTCACATAGTATTCATTTATCCTATGCAAAGATCGATTGAAATAGACGATTGTTGTTTTATATGTACATAAAACATCAATATTGATGATAATCAATACTTGTTATCTACCTACATCATCAGTGGCCTGCCTAATTTTAATATGGTTCGATAGTTATTTGGAAGAACTTGAAAATGGTGTAAAAACATCAGTATCCTAACTTGAGTAGATGTATGTGTATTTTAAAAATTTTCGCAATCTGTTTATTTGTCTTCCAAAAATTCATGTCTGATTTATCTGAAGGTTGAATCAAAAAATGAATCTCATCGAAACGGTTATTTTAACAGTGGAAATCAAATTCTAAGGTTATACAACTATTTTAGAACTTTAATTGGCAGATGAACAAACTAGAAAAACAGGACTTCTATGAAATTCATTTTTTGACCGAACATTAAAAGGATAAAGTTTTCGAAATTATTTGAGATACACAAAAGTCCACTTAGTTTGATATGCTGATTCAGAATATTCTATTAATTTTCATGCAATTTATCATTTTTTAACCAAAATCTACTGAATACTAGGAAAAATGGATTACAATCTTGTCTCAAGAAAGAGTATGCTTAGAATTTCTTTGTGTGATTAGTGCATTTTTTCTCAATGTTTTTATACCATTTTCCAGCACTGAAAAAATGACTATCGAATTATATAAAAATTAACTTGATCACTCATGAGACAGGTAGATAAAAAGTGTTGATTATTATCAACGGTCAGGTTTAATGTACATATGACGGTAATTGGCTATTTCAATTGATCAGTGCACAACATTTAAATAATTAATATATGATTGATTCTACGAGGGTGGCCTTTCTGACACGTGGTGTGATAGTTTGACATAGAAGAAATCAAATTTCTCCAGGGGGACAATTTCAACAATTATTAACCTCCATTCTTTGAAAAAAAAACTAGATTTTATCAGTCGACAGACGATAGAATTAGTTAGCTATTTTATTTAATATTTACTTTTTTTTTAATATACGTTTCATTTTACTTAGTATTTATTTAATAAGTCATATGTAGAATTTGGAAGAAGAAAAAAGTTTTACTTGCATCTGTATCGATTGAATAGATATAGGATTTCTCATTTTTGACTTAGGTGTTATTCTCTATTCAAATATTTATACATTGGTTTTTCGTTTTATAAAAATCTAGTCTTTAATCGCAATGCAACTATCTTCAATATCAACATAGAGAAGTGAAGCAAAAGTTAAAACCTATTGGTTTATTTTGATAAGAATGGAAATTAATGCACTACTAACAGCTAATTTTTCTTTGTTTTGATGACGTTAGTAGAAAAAAGAAGAAATATGTCGAATACGTAATAGCTACAATAATGAATGCTATTTTGGATCATTAAATATCGTCTTATTTTTTTCTTTTATATCATTACAATGAGTAAATACCAATTACTATTATATCATCACCTGTAGGCTGCCTTTTCGAGATATTTATAAAATGTGAAAAAAAACAAACGTTGTTCTAGCTTCCGATATTATTAGACATTTCTCTTTTCTACTGCATATAGAGCGGACGTATACAGGTGTGCTGTTATTTGATAACATTTCACATAATTTATTCGAACTCATCATTATCTATGAAAACACGCTACTTTTGTATGATATTTTCCTTATTAATGTCTATTTCTGCTAATCAATGGAACTATGGTAATCTTGGACCAGATGTTTGGAGTGAATATTATCCATTATGTGATGGTAAATCACAATCACCAATAAATATTTTAACTGCATGTACAGTCTATAAAGACTTTAAACCATTCACATTTATTTCAACATATGATGAAAAACATACTTTTACATTAAAAAATAATGGACATACAATTATTGGTATAAGTAATAATGAATATAAACAATCACCTATACAATTAACTGGTGGTGGTTTAAATGGAACATTTGAATTTGTAAATTTTCATTTACATTGGGGAGAAAATTATAAATCAGGCAGTGAACATCAAATGTAAATATATAAAAATACTTATGAAATTCTATAGATATATTTCTTTTCTTTTCTCTTAGAAATGGTGTTAAATATGCTGGTGAAATACATTTTGTTTATAAAAATCCTCTAACATCTCAAATGGCTGTACTTGCTATATTTATGCACAGTTATTTACATAAGAAGAAATTTGATTTTGATAAAAATGGTATTACACGTGATGAATGGCAAAGATATTTTAATATAGCACAAACATTAAAATCTGAAAATGATTCAATTCTATATGATTTAAATATAACATCACTTATGGGTGAAAATTTACAAGATTTTTGGAGATATGATGGATCATTGACAACACCACCATGTACAGAAGGTATTATTTGGACGGTTTTTAAACGACCGATTGTTTTTATGGAAGAACAAATTAAAAATTTGAGAGATAATATTTATTTTGAAGATTATCGTGGTCCTCAACCATTATATAATCGTACAGTTTATCGTAATTTTTTTAATGAAAAATTATCATCAATACCGGATTATAATCGATGTTTATTAGATTTTCAAGATGGAAAAACTATGGAAATTTTTTCAATATTTGGTATAATAAAGTGTTCGACACACTCATTTTTCTTGTTTCTATTGATTGTTTATTTTATTTTAATATTTATTTTATTTGTTTTTTTTTATAAAATGCGTATATCAATAGGTAGAAAAAAAATTGAATAATAAAATAAATCGATTAAGTTCAAAGAACTTTCTAATCTAATTAATATTGCTTTTTTTTTTACTTCTCTTTTGGCCAAGACACAAACAAAATAGTAGTTTTTTTTTTTTATCATTCAGATCAGTCCTGAAAAGAAAAAAGAACATTATATCTAAGGGTTATTTTATCACTTTCATTATATGTAATCGAGATGAAAAAAATAAAATTATTATAATATATGCTACTTGAAATATTTAAAAAGTGACAAGAAGACCCACCATAACTTCAGGCATCATTGGACTTTTATCAATTGCATTTTATGATGGTGTTAAACAATGATTTATATTTCGTTTTTTCAAATAGAAGAATGTGTTTAGGCATTTTTCTTCTCAAGAAAATGTTCACATGTTGAGACATATAAATATGTTGTATATTTTTGTTTAAATAAATGAATGTTATGATGTATCGAATACTTTTCTTCATATCATATTTTTTCTTTGTGACTTGTGTCGACCATGCTCATGAATGGGATTATGGTGAATATGGACCCGATGTTTGGTATGAAAGATATCCTACATGTGGTGGACAATTACAATCACCAATTAATATTTTAACAGCATGTACAACATATAAACATTTTACATCATTTATATTTGGATCTGGTTATAATGAACAACACAGTTTTAACCTTAAAAATAATGGACATACAATTGTTGGTACATTCAATAATGAACCTAATCTATCAGCTTTGAGACTTACAGGTGGTGATTTAAAAGATACATTGGAATTCGTGAATTTTCATTTACATTGGGGAGAAAATCATAAATCAGGTAGTGAACATGAAGTGTAAGTATATTTTTTTTTTCGTTAATGTGAAGCACCTAGCTCAAATTCAGTATAGTGATTCTATCAGCCATGGGAGTTTTCTATCTAATGCATTCAGTAGCAAGATTTTCGAAGACATTAGATACTGTAGTTTTCAGCTACAAGAAGCTTTGTCATAGCTATGTTTTAACAATAGCATTTTAAAAAGAACAAAATGAAGAGTTGTCTCATTTTCTGTGACTTTTCCTTAGAAAGTTAAACGTATCACAATAACCGATAAAAGACGTTTTTTTGATAAATTTCTTGTTTTATGATACTTTTAACTTTCCAAGGGTAGATCATAAAAAATGTGGCAACCCTCTCATTTTGTTCTCTTTAAAATAACATTGCTAAAGACTGTTTATAGGATCTGACAACTATCGCGTTCAATTTTTTAGAAATTTTTGCCATCATAGTTCATTTAATGAAAACTTGGCATTGAATGCATTAGATAGAAAACACCATTGATTATTAAAATCACTATCTAGATATATGAGCGATGTAAAAGACAAGCTATCGCTATAATTGTATCTTAGGATAGGAACAGCGACAAAGTCTGAAACTCTGCAGCAATAAGTTAAGGAAGACTTCAACTCTTTTTCAGGATATTCATAACTCATTTGTATTTACATAACGTGTATAATCTCGACACCAAAGCGATTTATAAGTAGAAGAACTTTTTTCTTTAGTTTTAATTTTGTTTATATAGAAATGGTATGAAGTATTCGGGTGAAATTCATTTTGTATATATAAATCCTAGTACAAATCAAACAGCTGTACTTGGTATATTTATGCAAAGTTCATTTATTCCCAGTGAAACACAAAAAAGTACAGTTCGTGTCGTGGATGACGATACATGGAAAGAATGGCAAAGATTTTTTGATAGAGCACAAACATTAAAAATGAAAGATAATACAAGTATGATTAATTTAAGTTTAGCATTACTTATGGGTGAAAAATTACGAGATTTTTGGCGATATGAAGGTTCATTAACTACACCTCCATGTACAGAAGGTATTATTTGGACAATATTTAAAGAACCAATTACGTTTGTTGAAAATGAATTTAAAGTTTTTCGACAAAATATTTATTTTGAAGATTACCGTCGTCCACAGCCATTATATTCTCGAAAAATTTATCGAAATTTTTTAAATGAAACATTATCACCAATACCAGATTATAATTGTTGTTCAGGAAAAGATCCACATCAAGCACCTGATGCATTGACATCTTCATTTGAAAAATTTCATTATTCAACATATTTAATTTATCTTATTATTTTGATCTTTTTTATTATTTTTTAATCAATTTATATTTCAAGACAAAAAAATAGATTTATATCAAATAACATTTTTATTTTGATAATCATTTTTCTATTGTTTGAATTCTATAGATCTTTCAACATATTGTAAAATAAATAAACTAATTCATTATTTATATTCTATAGTATCAGTAACACAATAGCAATGAGTTAAAGCTTGATCGTTTACAACGAATAGTTATCTAACAATTGAAATACTTACTATTCCAATAATAGATTTTGATGCGAAAAGAACCTGTGCTCACGTAATTCTCGCTATATTTGTTGAAACCTGATTCAGAACTATCTTACATTTTTGAAATCATACGTTGATGCATAGTCCTATTATTCGAGAGTACTTCGACAAATTCATTCTATTTCTACAACAAGTATTTGAAAGGAACGTTAATTTAGTGTTGTAAGATTTATATTGATTGATACTAGAACTTGTACAGATTCAAAATAATGGGAAGGTAAATTTTGCGTTCGTACTGTTGCGAAAATAGATTGTCAAGTGTGCAAATGTCCTTGTCTGTTTTTGTAAGTATCATTTATTGCCTAGAGCTTCGTTGTATGTCTGACCATCTGTTGTTTTTCATTATCATAATTACTTTTTTTTTTCCAAATATGTAAAATAGTAATGAGATAATCAATAAACATTGTGCTAACTTTTGGTTTTCTTCTATGAAAAGTATTTATAATGATAGTCTCTTTGATTTTAATCTTTTATTTCGTGCAAAAACATGTTGTTATCTTATCTTGATGAAAATAAATTAAACGAACAAAATAAAACTAGAATAAAACATTAACGCAAAATAATAAAATTGAATATATTCGAAAAATCATAAACATCAAGTTATCTACAGGCATTCCAATCCAGAAAAAAAGTCGCTTATTGACAGCTCTGATCTATTTAATACTATTATGCTTACGATACGAAATGAAAGAAGAATTGTTGATTAATTTACTGGACTCAGGAATAGCACATTGATTTCTATTTTTCACTTCAAAATGAAATTCAAAAACAGCCATATTCTAATACATACATGATGCAACCATAAAGTACAAAAAATGCAACATTTTTTCTAAAAGTACGTTTTTTTTTCATACAAAATCACTGATATATTTTTTCGATTTGAAAAAAACGTTTCATTTCATGCTGATTGTAAAACTGAGTTTGCAAAACTAATTTAAAATGAATTTCACAGACTCAGTTTTTCATATCAAATCTAAACATATTAGTTATACAATCAGCATAAAATGGAAAATTTTTGTAAAATCGAAAAAATGCACTACTTATTTAGTATGAAACACGCACTTTTAGAAAAAAAAATCGATTTTTTTTTAATCATTCGAAAAAATGATTAAATACATATTCTTACTCAGCTCGTCAAGCTCTATCTAGCCATGTATCAAAAGCACGACAAAAAAATTTGCTCCAATTTAGCATTTTTTTGCATCTTATTTGACTTGTGACAAAAGTAAATCATGAGTTAATAATTTTCAATTATATTAAATCGTTTTTATTTACTAGAACCTATTTCTGATAATGCAAAGCATAAACATATGTTATATTACGAGTTCATTAAATAATAAAATTCAATTGAGTGTTGACAAAAATAAAAAACTCAGCAGTAATAAAAGATAAAACTGATTGATATACATATATTTTAATAGAAATACATTTATTAATTTGCTTGATTTTATAAATACAAATCGAATAAGTTTATTGCAAAATATCTGAAAATATTCTTCTTATTTAAAATTTATTCAAATGTTCAAATGAAAATTGTATCGGCAGAAAATATTTATTTTTACTATGATACAAATGTGATTGTTATATTCATTTAAATAACCATTCAATTGCTAAAAACTTTTACAACGATGTTTATCATACGAAAATATATAACAGTCAACATAAGTCTATATTTATAATACTCAGCAATATATATCTATGAATAATAACAATTTCGTTTATTTATTCTTTCATTCGTAAAGATTTTTAAGAGGTACTCCTAACATTAATTATTATTTATTTGTTCGTTCTGCATGATAAATCACCAAGAAATCTGTCTTTTTTTCTTTTTCAGCTTATATATTAAGTAATGACTTATTTATATGTAACTATATTTAACGATTAGTAAGAGCTTACCTACATACAAATCTTATTAAAAAAAATACTACGCAATTCTAAATGAAGTACGATGCAAATATGTATTTTCAAGATTAGAATTATCAAAAGCATCAATTTGAATTCTCACCTTCTATTCAAAAATAAACGTTACGGACATTTTTATTATTTATGATATGTATGAGATAATCATGATAATTATTATTATTATCTATGATGAATCTATTGCATGAAAATTAAACATTGTAAGCTATAGTTCGTCTATGCCAGTAATATTAAATATTGATTAAATTATAATACTCGTCAATGACATAAATGGGATAAAAGTAATTTTCATCTTCAATTTTTTTTTCGAGTTGTGATTTTTCATTGTCTTTCCAATGCTTCTCTCCAATGCACATCAATCTGTTTTCAAAGGTCAAATAGAATAATCTATGATGAAGCTAAAATTAGTAAATGAAGTGCGTATATATTTAAAAATATTGTTCCCTAGGTTAATATTGTAATATCTATATATATATATATATTGTTTGCTTTGTATACTATACTTTTGTTCTGATCTGAGTGAAGAACATGCTTAACTAATTGACCTGATTGACAATAGAGACCACCACAGCGTGACGTTGAGAATGCCATTGCTCAAGAGTAGTACCCATATTTTATTGAGAAATAAAACTATGAAATAACAAGTTTTTTTTTCTAAAATATTCAAGTTGAATCATCGAACATTTATTTCGAATTCGAATTTCAACAAAATTTAAAAAAAATAATATATGTATTGACATATCACACCTTATTTTTGACTCTGTTTAATAAATAGAAAACAAAACCTAAAATAAATGAAGCGTGAAAAGTCCAAATAGCTGTTTTCCCCTAATCATTGAATAATCAGTAAAATAACTTTTAGTGTTTATTTTGAATGCATCAAGGTAACGACATCATATATGATTTACGCCACTGCATTGATATATAAAAAGAATCGTCTTTCATTTTTATTCAAAGAAAAAATACAGGTTACTCATTTGTGCACAAAAAAAAGAAACTAAACATCGTATAGTATTGTATTGAATCATCCATCTATATCGTCAAGGTTATAATATATCATAATATAAGGGTGGTGTTTCGCATTAACTAACAAAACGATCATCATGCATTTTCATTGGGTGTCAGTAGTTTTTATATTATTCTGTTCAATTAATATTTCTTTATCAGAAGTAGCTCATTGGAATTATGCTGATATTGGACCAGATGTTTGGGAAGATTCATATCCAATCTGTGCAAGAACGATTCAATCGCCAATCAATATTTTAACAGCATGTACTGTTTATAATGAATTTCCCACTTTTCAATTTTCACCCGATACTAATGTAACACAAAATTTTACAGTTACAAATAATGGGCATACGATAACAGCTCTACAAATCGATTCAACTGCATTTCCTCTAACATTGAGTGGAGGTGGTTTAAATGGAACATTTCAATTTGTTAATCTTCATTTTCATTGGGGCGAAAACTACAAATCTGGCAGTGAGCACCAAATGTAATTAAATATTCGTTAATTAGATTTTTTCATATACTCTCTCATCTTATAGTAGAAGATTCTCTCTTAATTGTTTAGCTGAATTAAGAAATTCTTTTACATCTATAAAAACTGCTTTCAAGTTTTCGAAACTGCTGTAGTATTTTGGAGAATTTGTTTCAAATAAGTAGTAATTAAAAACAGAGACATCTCACAGATGATACTCTTGAAACATTTGCCCACTTGAACATAATAGAAAACTTGTGATTATCTTTTATAGGAGAAATTTAATAAATAACGTTTATTTTATTTTCAGAAATGGTGAAAAATATGGTGGTGAAATACATTTTGTTTATTTAAACCCTGCAAATAATCTATATGCTGTGCTTGGCATATTTTTTCAGAGCATTAAATCAAATTCAACTAGTTCTGAATCATCTGGACATACAAGAAAAAAACGTTTAACAAAGAGAGAAATTAACAGTACTAATAATGAGGCATCAGCTCCATGGGACAGTTATCTTGCAACAGCTGATGACTTAAATCATACAAATGACTCAGTTGTAATCAGTTTACAATTATCAACTTTAATGAATACGGATTTCAGCAAGTTTTATCGTTATTCAGGTTCATTAACAACACCACCATGTTCTGAAAGTGTTATTTGGTCTGTATTTCAAACACCTATCCAACTTAGAGATGATGAATTAGAAATTTTTCGATTAAATATTTTTTCTGAAAATTATCGTAGTACACAACCATTAAATGGACGAACTGTGTATCGAAGTTTTCAAAATGATACATCACCATCGGCATATCTGTATACTTGTTGTACACAAACTGGCGGAAAGAATTCTCGTGGATCTATACTAATATATCATTCTTATCTTTTTTCTTTTTTCTTTTTACTTTTTTCTTATTTCTAATATAGTTAACAAGACTTAATAATCATATAGTTTCATTCAATGTAGCTAAATATGTGTATTGTATATCAAATGAATCATATATTTTTTAAGTTCAATGATTAATCTGACGACTTCATAAATCAAAAGAAATATACTATCTAAAAATTATTTTGCACCATACAATGTAATATTTTTTCATGCAAATTTGTTTTCAACAAAAATATTCACGTGTTTTTATCACATAATTGACAAGCATGATAATGACTACTATTTACCGGGTGGCCCATAAGTAAGGAAAAGGAAAAAAAGAAATTGAATATCTCTATTATGACTTGACCAAACGGGCTCATTTTTATATCAACACTAGAGGTTTATTCACACTCTAAATCCATACGAGCACGGTTAATGAGAATCTTTGTAAGTATCACTATTGACCCAAACAAAAACATTTTACTTTTTCATAGCTTAGAAAAGAAACAAATATATTTGACAAAGGTTCACACTAACTTTGTCCATATAGATTTAGAGTATGAATATGCCTCTATCTTTAGTCAAAATATCAACTCGTTCGCTCGAGCGATAATGGAGATATTCAATTTCCTTTCCAGGAAGCTGACTTTTGAGCTACCCTGTACAGTGAATTTTCCTATTGTGAAAAGGTAAAATTTATTTTATTAAGGTCACTAATGATACTTAACAAAGATTCTCACCGACCTTGCTCGTATGAATTTAGAGTGTCAACAGACTTCTAGCCTTGGTATAAAAATGAGCCCGTTTGGTCGAGTCATAATAGAGATATTCAATCTCTTTTTTTCCTTTTCCTTACTTATGGGCCACCTGGTACTTAGTTAGTAAAATAGATAAAATGGTCAGCAGTAAAATTACCAATAACTAATTGTAAAATGGTCTGTTTATATTAAATATAAGTAGTAGTACTAAATATAAAATTTATCAGCAGAATAATAAATTTAAATAAATCAAAGAAAAGTTTAAAGAATAATTGAAAAAAAAATTGAATTATTGTATTAGTAAAGCAGATTTAACTTTTGATGATCTACTTCTTTCTCTTTTTTCACCAATCAATACTGTCTTTGCTGCTGCTGGTGATTTTCAACATTTCAAACGAGTAACCATATTTACAAAGTGTTTGCATATATAATTCTTTATTATATTTATTCCAACCAGCTTGTCCAATCTATTGTAACTCATGAGCTCACATAATATATTTTTTCTAAGAATCATTTGAAATACAAATGATATCTTTTATTGACTTAGTTCATTGCTACGATAAAATCTATGCTTCTAAAGATATTGTTAGTTTTGTAGCTAATATTATTGCATTAGCTGAGAATGGATATCGTTCGATTGACTAATTATGAATAATATTTAAAGAAATTGTTAAAAATCTTGATAAAACATGGCGTTCTTGAAACGTTTCATCGTCTTGAATTGCTTTATTGGTTCTTCCAAACTACTTCTTCATCTGATATATTGCTGTCATATTGCGAAGCTTGTATCATTTCCGTAGTTATAAATACGTTAAATTTTACAAACACGAAATATGTTATTTTTATTTAAAAAATACAAAATATTTATACATGCGAATAGATAAAGACAATAGCCAGAGAAGAAGCCAAGAAGCTATTTTCCCAAGGGAGAAACTACTGATTGAACTCAGCTGAAACTCAAAATAAATCACCAAATTCAGCTAAACTCATTTTAGATCACCAAACTCACCCAAACTCATTTTAAATCAGATAAATCACCCAAACTCAGCTGAAACTCAAAAATAAATCATTTTAAATGAGAGGTTTGTTTTTGAGAAAGAATCATTTTATTCTCAAGATACAACCAAAATTGATATTTTTTATTTAATTAATGTTTAAGATTTTACTAATTTATTCAACGGAATAAAAGAAGGCATTCTATTATACAGTTGTTGAATACTCTTTTTGTATCTTAGAACATAGAATATATTTTTTACTGTTAAATTAAGTTAGAAAAACAAGTGAGTTGATTAAAAGGGACAGATTCTGCGGATAGTTTTTCTTTCGCACTCGCCCAGATTGAAATGAAACAGAGAGAAAGAAAATTAAATATATGCCCTGCATCTAACTGAAACAAAATTATTGAAAATACTTTTATTATTCTTTAAATCGATTATTTTCATCTGAACATTGCTTGACTCTAAGGAGGGATGGCATGAGGAGGCCA